AAAAGATTAGTACTATAGAAAATCTAAGACACAGACAAATCTGAAGACAGAAAATGGTGTAGCTGCATTCCTCTAGGGGTAATACATCCTTTTTTCCTCTGTGCCTACAATTTTTTGGGGGGTGTTGGTATTCTTCACACAATACTGAACAGATAACTTCGGTTCTGTATTTCTCATGAAATATAACACAGTGATTTCCTATTGGTATTAAGAACTCCTTGTAGGAATAATTTTTAATCTTTTCTCGTGAATCCACAACAGATGTTTGCTGTACCCTATTTTCCCTTTGTTCCCTCCCTGCTGCCAACTCTCTTTTAAAATTTATTTATATATCTTTTTGCTACACTGTGATCTCTATCTGCTTTTTAGATAATTCCCTTAGGATGGATTCCTGGTTGTAATTCCCAGCTCAGCTGTAGGGTTCCTGCCACACACCACTGCACCAATTTCTACACGTTCATCGCCGTTTGTTCTTTTACCTAGCAATGTGAGAGTACTGTTACCAGCAATGGGTGTAGTTGTTTAGTAGAAGTGTTTGTTAAATTGAAAATAAGAATCAGCAGTGTGTGTTTTAGTTCCTTACCCTCTTCTCATTTATACCTCAAACCCATCAAAGTTGGTCATGGATCTTGAGCTGGGTAGGACACACATGGAGTCAGGCGGCAGGCTAGGAGCCCAGTATCTCATCTTGCCAGCTGTAAGACTATGGGCAAGTGAAGGTGACTGCTTTGTGCCTCAGTCTCCTCATTTATAAAATGAGGGTGACAATAGATGTATTTTATAGGATTGCCATTCAAACTAGATGGGTCAGTGCAGGGGTTGGCAGATATACCTTCAATAGCTAGAAATAAGAACATGGGCCTCTGTTGATAGTCATTTCTTCCTCTTCTTCTTAAAAAATTTATGTATTTGGTACAGGGTCTTGCTACACAGCTTGGACTCATAGTGATCTCCTGTTTCAGCCTCCCCAGTGCTGGGCTTACAGTATGCACCATCATGTCTGGTCTCGGTGGTGGCTCAGCACAACGGGGATGGGGCCAGCACAACATGTGGTACTGGGGATTGAACCCTAGTCCTTGTGCTTACCTAGGCAGGTGCTTAGACTGCTGAGCTATCTGGCCATCCAGCTCTGATCTAGCCAGCAGGGACTGGAATCAGGTTTCCACATAGCTAACAGGCCTTAGGCGATTCTTACATTCAGAATCACACGGGACAAGGCCCTGCAGGACTTGCAAGTGACATGCAGTGCCATGTCTCCTTAGTGATTCCACGCACAACTATCAGCCATAAAAGTCCACACCTTACTCACAACTTCACATAAACTTTGAGAGCGACCGCTGACCACTTTTTCTCATTTTCCTGGGGATGGGGAGGTCTGATCATGATAATCACAAAGAGATGGTAGACAAAGTTGCCAGCAAGTACCCGGAAGAGGACTGACCTAGAAATGTTGGTTTCTTCAGCTCCTGTCATTGGGAAACACAGTGTGGATGGGGCGGCGGAGTCTCCACCTTTACATCTAACCTGCACGGACAGCAGAGCTCACCCTCGACGTTCCCATAGCCTCTGAACTCTCTGGCCACTTGCTTCCAGGCGGTTTGACCCTCCCTCAGGAAAGCTCAGTGAATGGACCCCAGGGGATTATAGCAACAAGCTGATCCACAGATGGCCAATATGGTGAGCCTGCCACATCCCTAGATTTCATTTCTATCAATTCTACAATGGTGGGTGGAAAATAGTTTTTAAAATTTATCTTTGTATTAAAAATGTGCAGATTTTTCCCCCTCATCATCGTTCCCTAAACAATATAGTGCAACAACTATTTATAAAGCACTTACACTCTATTAGGTATTAGAAGCAATCTAGAGATGATTTAAATTGTATATGGGGAGGTATACACAAATGATATGTAAATGCTAAACTGTTTGATGTGAGGGATTTGAACAATCTCAGGTTTTGGTACCCCCAGGAGTCCTAGATACAGTCCCCCATGGATGCTGATGGATGATTGTACACCAACCTGCAGAGCCACGGGGACCAAATGTCCTTATACTCAGGGACACAGTTATCCTCCTTGCCTACCTCTGAGAGGTTCTGTGACGACCTAACTCACCCACCAACACCTATCTGTCTCATTGTGAGTCCTACCTTGCAAAGAGCCATTTACAGGGAACTTTACTCAAAGCTTTTGATTTTTGGGTGTGTGTGGGGGGGTGTTGGTCAACAAAGAAGCAACAACCACAACAAAAGAAGCAACTTCCCAAATGCTTCAGCAGGGGGAGGGAGAGAAAGAGAAAGTCTAGAAGGCAACTATCCAGGAAGATCATGCACCCCAGGAAACCCTTCATTATGGGCTCCAACTTGGAGCAGAATGACAGTGTCAGGGTGCTCTGACAAAGTGAAAGATGGACAAACGAAGTTCTGTAGACCGCCAAAGACTTTAAACACCAACATTCACTTCAAAAGTGGCTGTTGGTCCAAGGGTTCAAACTACAGCATGCATTTTTAGAGAGAAAATAAAATGTCTGACATACTTTTGAGATTCTTTCAAAGAGAACAAAAAGGAGGCTTGCTGAGGGGTATGGGGGAAACAAGGGCTACATGCTGGCACTTGGACAGCTTTTCCCATGGAGGCTTCAGCTTCCCAGGGAGCCCAGAAACCCCTCCCCACCCCAACTCATGCCCACATGGAAATCCAGTGTGAGACACACGAGGCTGTTTAAAACAACCCCTCCAAGGTCAAGTTTTTCATTGAAAATGTAGAGAAATTGTTGGAAGAAATAAGCCTCTCTAAGGCTATAAATTATTTTAATATTCCAGTAGTGAAATCCAGTAGCCAGGAAAACAACTGAACGGGGATTTGGAGTCTTAAATCTAAGCCTCTGGCAGAGGTGTTCAGAGTCCCCTCGAGGTATGCGGGGAAATGGACTGGACGGGGTCTGCTCTTCCAGGCCTTTGACCCTACACTGCTGTCAGTGTAAAATCTCAAGTAAGCAGCCTTTTGGGACATAGTTGTGGAGGGCCCAGCCCTCCATTGGGTCTCCTGTCACACCTTAGCTCTGACACAGTCCTAATGTATCTCTAGCCCTTCCTAGAGCCTTCAAATTCAGAGCTTCTCCAGAATTACAACCGTTCTCTAAAATGGCAAAGAGATTTGCATATCAGAGGTTAAAATCAATGTCAGGAGAGGTGGCTTGACAACAGAAGGCCAGCAACACCTGATGCTTCAAATTCTTGTGAGGCTTTACTCAGTCAGGACAGGGTGCCATGCCTCTGTGGCTGGTCCAGGAGCGCACAGCAACAATCGCTAAGCCAGTAGCGCACCAGCGGCATGCGTGCCTCTCGGACCACATTCCTCTACTGACTCGCTCATCAAGGAAACAATCCAGTGAGCTGAACAAGGCTTGTGCATCTGCAGCCCTCATTTATTATTAAAAGCCAAGAACAGCACCACCCTGTGTCAGCCCACCAGGACCCTTTCTCTGTCGCCCTCACACTGGCGCAATACTCAGAGACCCCAATCTTGCCTTCCCGCCCAAGGCCACACCCCCTCAGTGTCTGTCTCTTTCTTTCTCTCTCACACACACAGGAAGGGGATTTACATCACAACTGCATCCTACAGAAGATGATTCAACCCAGTCTCTGCATTTTCATGAGGGTTACAAACCGAATTAACCCACGGAGCTGCAGTGGGCTCTGGGCTCCGGGCTCCTCCATGCTGGAAGAGCCTCTGACAGTTTCAACACACAAGAACCAGAATTAGCTCATTCCTCACCCAAATCTGCCTCTGATTGGTCAAGACTAATTTAAATCTGTCTTTTCAGGAAATGATATGGGATCAACACAAGACACTTAGAATAAGTTAGCACACCTTCTCCACCTTACCTGGCTTCCCCCAGTAGCATCTTCCCTCTGGGTTCCCACTGCCTCTTAATGCTGATCATTAGCAAAGCCACAGCTGGAAATGCATCACTGAGAGTTTAGGTATAATGGGGAAATGGGTTCAAGGGGCCATCTCAGCAGGACTAGAATGTGCTCTCTTCATCCATGGAGTGCATGCATGTCTGTCTGGCTAGGCTACCTCTCCATTCCTTCCACCTGTATGTAGATTTCTGACGCACAGGAAGCAGGTCTCAGTTTAGCACTGAGGACCACCTGTCCCAAAAATACATACTCCCAATGAGGGCAATTCTACCAGACCTTTTAGAAAGAATCTTTTTTCAACCTACAGCATATCTTTCAGCCTTCACATTCCTTTGTACCATGACATCTAAATCCCAGGGAGGCAATGTTCATAGATGCTGGGGATTCAGGTACCCTGTACATTCCAAATGTAAATACAAGTGAAGTTCACCAGTTACAGGCACCTGTATCCAATGGGATTCTTTAAATGCAGAGGAGGTTCCCTCCTTCCAGGTGCTACCAAAAGCTAGTTTTTAAGCACCAGCACACCAAGGCTTCCTTTCTGTGCTATTTCAGTCATCCCCTTTGGCCCATGCTCCTTGGTCTGTGAAGGCCATCGCCCATCCAATGACTGCAAATCCACCAACTCTGAGCCATCAATTAGAGACCTGGTGCAAATAAATGGCACATGGGCTTGCTGGCTGGCCCTTAGGACACAGGCGTGGGCGATGACTCCTCTTGGTGTCTATTTATAGAGTCACAACTAAACCACCCACAGATCCACACATGTCTTCAACATCATGGCAACCGTGTCTCTTCTTTCTGTCTTCCACTTCAAGACCAATGGCCAAAGCCCACATACATTTCCTCCTTCCAAAGAATTATAGCCAAAGCCTCCCTCAGAGTCAACTCACACACCAAACCACAGGAAGTAGCATCCACAGGAGGTGGAGCGAGCCACATAGCACACAAGTCTGTGGCAGCCTCCATGAGCCTTCCAACTCACTCATGGTGGCCATGCCACTGGACCATGACCCTTTCCCAGGTGAGAGTCAGCACTCTCCCCAAGTGAGCGACGCAAACACCTGCATCCTTACCTCAATCAAGAAGTCCCCAGTCCTTAGTCCGGCTTGCCATGCCACCCCGCCTTCATCCACAGATTCCAGGTACTGTAGGGCTGGGAATGCCGGTGTTGGTGTGAACTCTTCAATGGGGGTGTCGGCTAGGAGGACAAAGAACACCTCATTAGAAGCGTGGCAGATGCTTTCCATGTTGCCTCCTCTGGGGTACTCTGGGAAGAGGAGGGTCCCTGCATCTCCTGCTGGGAGAGACTGTCCAGGCCAGTTTCCCCCAGGGAAGGGCATTCTTGGTTGATGCTAACTCAAACCATGAAGCCACCTGAGTGTCAGTGTCACCATCATGTTTCTGGGCCTCTCCACTGAAACCATAGAATAACGTGTTCTGCAGTATATGTCTACACGCCTGTCATTTTCTTTAAAAGCATCAGTGACTAAACATTTTCAGTTCTAAAAATGGAAAAGTTCCTCCCATACCACACAGAGCTAGAGAAACACCACACTAAACCACTTGCCAATTTTAAATCTACGTAGACTTGTGACCAAGGGGGATTCAACTTGGAACACAGATGCGACAGAATGCTGACCCAGTGGGTGGCTCTAGGTTTGGAATCTGCTCATGACCTCTTTGTAATGGGAGTCTGGCTCTCTCTGACCATCCTGGAACCAGCATACATGGGGGGGGGGGCTGGGCCTCTGCTCCTCAGCAGAGCAAGGCTTGGCTTCTGGGGCCCACATGGCTGCCAAGTACAACTCCAGGGCAAGAGAAGAGCCTTCTTGGCAGTCTTGAGAGGGCAGGGGTGAGCTGTGGGAAAATGGCGAAGCCTGGTAGTAGGAGGAAGAGGGCATCACACAGATGGGCCTGGACATGCACAGGGGACAGAGGGGCGGACTCAGCTTCTCTCTGCACAGACAATCACGGGGCTCCCTGGCCTGAAGGCAGATGGGCCCACCAGCCAGGAAGGAGCCTCTCTCCACACAGGTGCAGAACTCTACCCCAGCACAGGAGCTCCACGCTGAAACTTCCACCTGGCTGATCCCTACCCATGTGGTGGGCAGCTGTCTCCTCTCACAAGGGGTGATGCCATTCTGTCTTATTTGGAAGGGAGGCCCCCACATAAAGGGCATGTGGTGGGTACACTGCCATGGACCGCATCCCAGAGCCTCCCACCACAGGCCACGGGCTAGATGTGCTGCCAGCTCAGTCAGTCCATGGTACAGGGGACCATCTTGCCACTTCTCCACTGCAAAGTCACCTTAGAGGCAAACCCGGGTGCTGCTGCCCTTGGAGCCGAAGCCCACTTCCACAGCAGGCAGTTTCCCAGCCGCTGAAACTCAGGGCTGGTGATCCTGTGCATCTGAACCGAGGAGCTCTGAGCGTAGCTACAGTGTGGCTGAACTAAAGCATCAGCTACTGATTACCCCCATGATCCAAGCAAGGTAGGGGAGGCAGGGAGGGGGAGAACCCGTTCCGACCAATGCTGTGTATAGGAAATTAAAAATATGCCGAAAGTGAGCCTTGATGTTTTCTGAGGAAGGCAGAATGGTTAAAGGGCACTGTTGTCTAGCAACCAAGTGCCCTCAGGAAAATGCTTATTTAATGCTTATTTCCAAGCTGGGAGAACATTCTTCACACAGGAGTGTAGGTATACACACACACACACACACACACACACACGTGAACGCACCCAGGCCCCCCTTACCTTTCGCCCCTCGGAGCACAAACCCGAAGCCCTCATTGTCCTTCTTCTGCAGGACCACCGTCTTCTCCTCAATGATGCAGTCACTGTAGAGAGAATTCCGGGGACAGCGACCATTATTGTAACCGGTCATCATCACGGTGGCTGCTCCTCCGCCGGGGACGCTCATCATCATAGCCAATTAATCACCCAGCTCCCGGATCCCGGCAGCATGGAGGAGCCTGGGCGGCAGCGAGGTGCAGGCGGAGCTGGGGGGGCTAACGGGATAGGCGAGCGGGGCACAATGGGATGTGGAAGGGGGGGGCGGGCGGCGCGGGAGCCAGCCGGGAGAAGGAGGCAGGCATGCTGGAGAGGCTGCCGGGCTGCTGAGCAGTGGCTCAAGGCACCCGGGGGCCGGCCAGGACGCCGCCGCTGACAGCAAAGAAAGTAAGTGGCCCGGGTGGCGGCGGTGGCGGCGGCAACAGCAGCGGTGTCGTGAATGAGCTCCCCCCTCCTGTCTCGGCCAGATGCATCTTCCAGGGAAGCGGAATGAAGTCAGCCCGAGGAGAAATGAGGCAGCAGTTTTGTTTTGCTTTTTCTTGAAGGGGCTTAAAAAGAAAATCGGATTCTATGTGCTCAGGCGGAGCAGCGGCAGGCACGGGAGACACAGGGACCTGAGCGCTGCATCCTGCGCTCCCTCCTTCTCTCTTCCTCGGGAAGGTGGTGTGCAGCAGGCAGGAGCCCCCACAGTCATCTGATGAGCCCACAGCGCGACCGCGGTGGCTGCCTGGGCGTCATCCCGCGCAGAGAATCCGCAGGCTGGGCTGGCGGCAGGCAGGGTGGGGGAGCGGCCAGCGAGGTGCCTCCCATGGCCACAGTGAGGGACCTCCATGCAGTGAGTGCGGCTCTGGGTGGGAGGAGGCTGGCCATCTCAGTCCCACCCAAGCCCCTGAGGCCAGTGGCCTCCTTTTGAGGAGGGTGGGTAGCTGGGGGCTGGAAGCAGAAGGAAGGTATTGTCCCCTGTGATGAGGGCCACATGGTTTGCCTCTTTCTAAAAGAAAGAAATCAAAACAGCCCCAACTTTGCTTCACCTGCAAAGACTCCTCTCATACTAAAAGCACTCCACCACAGGACTGTCTATGCCCAGAGGCATGCCTGGGTGCACTGGACACAAGTGGGCTACTCGGTAGGTCCCAGGACCTGGCTAACCTGCTGTCCTCCTCTACCTTGTGGGTGGCCCATGAGGGGGTGTGGGGCAAGCATCCTGCATGCCACGACCACCAGTGCTGTCTGAAGCAATGCAGGAACCTCTGGAGGAGGGAGCCTGGAGATAGGGAGAGGGGTCTTCCCTACAGCCCCCGGGCCTGGCGTGAGGGCACCTGGAGTGCAGAGCGATGGGGCAGATGCTCACAACTCAGGCCTGGGGACACCAGGCAAAGGAAGGGTGTAAGGAGTTGCTGGCACTCATGTGAGCAGGACTCAACTCTGCCCGGCCCCAGATTTGCTGCCTATAGTAAGCACGAGGTCCCAATCTAGTGGCTAGTCCAGTGGACTGGGGAGCCCCTAGAGTAGAGGTTGGGCCAAGTGTCTGTAATTGGCTGGTGTGTCCTGCACAGGGTTCAAGCAGCCCCTCAGAGTCCTTATTTTACAGATGAGGCAAGAGAGGTTTGAAGCAGTTGGGCACACAACAGAGTACATCCTCCCACCCTGCTGCACCAGAGGGTCATACAAAGGACACACGAGTGAACTTGGCTCCCAGCAGGGCAGTGCCACACAGCTCAGCAGGGCATTGTGACTCGATATGGAGTCCAAAATAGGTCCAGGAGTTTTGATCTCCAACTCCTGTTCTGTATGTGGAGATGCCGGCAAGCGCAGGGAGCTCAGCTCTGGGGAACTTGGCCACCAGCCTGATGTCCTTCAGATAGCCCTCAGCCCCCACTGCCCTACTCAGGGCCACCAGAAAAGGGTTGTGAACAGTCAAGGGTTCAGGGATAGGCAAGGACTATGGCTGGTCTGGCACTAGCAGTGACTGGGTCTCTGATCCCATTTCTCATACATCCATAGGCAGCAAGGCCCAGGCCTCTTGGAGTTACTATGGGTGGAAGCCGCCACTCCCACAGTGGTGTGGTTAGTGGGAAAGCCCCAGGGCCCTTTAACTGCTGTCTATAGTGGAACAGGCTGGCAGCTAGCCAGGACCCGGCAGCCATAGAGGGTAGAAGCGGGGAGGGGAGGTTCTCTACTGCCTCAGATTTAGGAGTCCTGGAGAGGGGAATTTGTACCTGCATGTCCCCACATCTACCAGTTAACCAGAGCACACACTCAGGCTGCTTGTGTGAAATCCCCTTTGTCCACACCCTCTCCTTCGCCTTTCCTTCTCAGAGGGTGTCAGTCCATCTCTTCCCCAAGGCTAGCTGTTGGGCCGGCTCATGTGACCCCCTCCCTCCCGGGTCCTCCAGACACCCCTCTGCCAAAGCCAAGGGAAGTCTGGTAGCCTCCTGCACATCCTCCTGATGTGAGGATGACAGCCTATCTGAGATACAGAGCTCACCGCCCTGCACTCTACCTGACCTGGACCTGGGTCAGGGGTGCATTCCCAGTGCACGTTACCTGTAGGATCTAAAGATGCTCAGACCCTGTGCTCCCAATCAACCTATGCTACCCCCTAGAGCTGTCCCACTATGAGGACTTCTTTGGGTTAGTGAGATTGTCCAGCATGTGGCGAGGGTGCCAGCCTGGGCACCATAGAGCTTGGTATAAGCCCAGCTGTGCTCTGAAGTGAAGGTTAGCATGACCTTCGAACTTGAGACTCCTGCTTTACAAACTAAGAATAACAGGAGTGCATGAAGTGACCTGTCTAACTCATGCCCTAAGAGTCACCTCTGCAGAACCTGTAATCACACCACTGATGACGTGAAGGACCCCCAGCATGTGCCAACCTCCCTCCTGGTGTATCCTCCTGTGGAAACACCATCCTTCTCTCTGTCATCCAGGCCGAAGTCTTCTTGGCCACTCCTGACCTGTTCTGGGGACCTTCTAGCCCCACCTAGGACTGCCATCCTGCCCTGCACTGGGTTAGCTCTGTCCTCTGTGTCACTGAAGTGCCAGGTCCTCAGTCTCTGAAGCCAAGAAGAACTGTTCCTACCCTCCCTTTTCTACATCATTTCAGGTCCTGATGGGCCTGCCCCCAACTGTCATGACCACCATTCACAGATGGACCTTGGGTTTGGAAGGATGTCCACTCAGACATTCATCAGCTGGGCTGGTCGGAGCCTCAGTTTCCCCCTGCAAGAAGGATGGAGGTTTAGGAGGAGCTAGTGAATCAATACCCAGAAGCACCCACTTTGGCAGGACCTGGAACCTGTCATAGGGGAGTGGCTGTCCTTAGTATACCATGTATCCACCTATGTTGTCACCCAGAAGCAAATGTCCCTGTCTCACCTTGCGAATCACCACAAAAGCCCATAGCACCCCACACGGGCAAAGTGAATGGGACAGACACAATGTACAGGTAGAGCATACCACAGGAGAAGTGAGCTAAAGGTGGCCACAGAGCTCCAAGACAGAAGGGTGGGATGACCCTCAGGTCCCAGTGGAAGCCAAGCAGCAGGTTTTGTGAAGCATAGGGGAGCACTTTCTGCATGCAGCCGGCTAGGCCCAGGAAGCCGGAGAGGAAAGAGGTGGTGGTGGTCCCGGCCCCTGGCACATGCCTGGGAACTTTGTAAGTCCATGAGCCAGAGGCCACCCTGCAGCTGGGGACTGTCCAGATGTAGCCCAGACCTTGAGTCACTGGGGCCCAACTGAGGGACCTGCCATCCCACATGCTGTCCTTGGGAGCCTTGCCCACTCCACTTCTGGGCCTTTCTCCCCCACCCACTAAAGATCCCTTGTCTGAAGAAGTTACAGTGAGCACCTGGAAAGCAAACATTGGGCCCACTCTGGGGGGAGTCTGTGAATCACGTGATACATCTACGTGTGGCTGAGCAAGAGAGTCCTCCAGCAGAGCCTTCAAATGTTTCTGAGGAGGCTGGGAGGACTCTAACAAACACACCCACCTGGGTCAACTTCCGCTTGCAGCTGTGGAAGGGGAAGGGAGTGGGCACCCAGTACTTCTTGGGACAGCTACGCAGGTTGTGCACAGCCCAACTACAGAGAACATGAGCCACAGCTTGGCCACTTTATGGTGATCATGTGGGCACAGAGGGACAGAAAGCATACTGAGGGAGGGGCAGGTCCCTTTTCCTGGTCCACATCAAGATGGGACACAGGCCATCAGCCACCATGGAGAATAAAGGAGGTACCTACACAGGAGACATCCTACACCATCCCTTGGACAGCTACACATGGGAAGTCCCCTGAGAGCCACAGGCAGAGGCCACCAAAGGCATCTGTCCCCCACCGAACAGTCCCATTTCCTACTCCAGGAAAGAGCTGACTGAATATGCCTAGAGCAACCAGTGACCTGGAGCTGGACGGTAGGCTCTTGGGGACTCAGGGCTGTCCTTGCAGTGGCCATGGTGCCCACATCCCTGTGGCCTGCCTGGAGGTACTCCCTGTGTGCTCCTTGCAGGATCACCAGGACCAAGCACCTTGCCGCTCTTAGTGGTGGCCAAGATTCAATTCATGCCAGTAGGCACTGTCTGTGCTGACAGGGAAGGCTGTTGTGCTCTTGGTCCATGAGAAGCACTGGTGTTGATGAGCCATCCAGCTCTGAGCATGCCCTTGGTGAGGCACAGGGCCCCGTGAGAGGCGTAGGCATAGAGCCCTAGGAGGTCGGCTGGAGGCAGCACAGCTGGAGGGTATGGGGGCTCCCTGGTGGCTCCTTCTGCCCCATCTATGAGGGAGAGGGCCATGGTGGCAGTTTAATGCTGAACACGGACTGTCAATTGAGACCAGATGGCTTCTCTTGTCACTCTCAGGGCCCAGCTGCCATGGTGGCCTGCTCCCATCCAACAGCTACACTTCTTCCTTTGACCATCTGGAACAAGGTTCTGATCAAGACAAAAGGTCAGGAGCACCTGGGGCCCAGGCGGGGCTGCCATGCTAGTTAGTGGGGGTGACTCTGGGCTCCTCCACTGAACACCTGTGAGTGCCAGGCAATGGCCTGGGT